ACCGGACCGTGGTTCTGAAAAAACTCCTTTTCTTACTTGGTCGAATATTCTCTTTACCTCTTCCTGATAATTACTTGCTCCTCTTACTTGCCAAAGTTCCTGTCTTACTTGGCGATGAGAGTGGCGATTAGCAACGAACCCCTCACAATGGCTATTACAAAAAGGGCCTTGCTTTATTTTCGCTAGACAAAAGAAACAGTAGCCAGGTTGAGGAGTAAAGTGAAAATGATTTTTGCTTTTGAAAATTGAGATTTTTTTAATCTTCTTTGACATATAAAATTTTTAATATAGATACCCTATATATAAAATTACTATATTATGAAACTAATTTATATAAGATCTGCTATGGAACCCAAGAATTATGCGGCCATTCGTTCTCTCCTAAAACAGGAAAGGGGAGAAAAAGTGGCTCCTCATGTTTTTAAACTGGAAAATATTCACTCCCTCCAAAAATATTTGCAACAAGAGAGAATTACTTATGAGACCTATCGAGAGGTATCCGAAAATGAAAGTGAATTTAGCGACGAGGATCAGAAATTAGAACAAACCTACCAGGAAATCAGCCAAGACCAAGGAAGAAAAAAATTAACTAAACCTGCTCAAAAAGCGGCTTTAAAAGATTTACAAAAAAGATTATAAATGAGTGTGAAAATAATCAAAAGAGGTGAAAGGTGAGAAACTGGTTTTAAGTCTTCGCACCCCTTAAGGGGTGAAATTCACTGAGCCGACTTCACTGATAAAGAGGAAGAAAAAGAAAATAGGAAAGATAAAATTAGAGTCCGAAAAAAAGCCAGCCAAAAAGACCGACCGGTAGTAGTCATCTCTAACGATAAGCAAAATAAATATAGTGATGAGGTAATAGTGGCTTTAATTAGTTCGCAATTGGATAAAATTTACTATTTTGAACCGGAAATCTCCTTAAAAAAGAAGAGTAAAATTTTGACTGATCAAATTTTAACTATTGATAAGAGTAGATTGGGGGATAAGATTGGTGCTTTGAGTTCGAGTGAAATAATAAAACTAGAGCAGGCTTTGCATGTGGTGTTGAGTTTATGGTATTGTCGTAGTGGATTTGCTTCGGAGAGTTGGTTGTTGTTGCAGAGATTAGCCAAAAAGGAGGGAATTTCTACCAACCAATTGTTAGAAAAGATGATAAAAAGTCGGAAATAAGGCTAATAATTTTCATAGAACGAAGTATTATTGAAATATGCCGCCATGAGAAAAATTTTTATGACTGAAAATAAACGAGAAAAAAATCCAAAAAACAAAATCAACTGAAAAGAACTTCTCCAAACTTACAAATTCTTGCTAATAATCCCTTTTTTCCTTCTTTTCATCTTCTACCGTCCTACTGAGGGGAGTTTTTTACATAATTTGTTGGATAAGTTTAAGTTTTTGTTGGGAGTTTGCATTTGGGCCTCCCTAGGAATATTAGTAGGAGGTCTCCTCTTAGTCCTCTTCAAAAATAAAGGGCAACTTATTTTAGATAATACTCCCGAGTTTTTAGACTATTGTGCTAAGAGTAATGGTCTGGTCTTTTTTGGTCCCATAGGGAGCGGAAAAACAGCAATATTGGCTATGTTGGCTAATGAATTACCCGGG